TTAAGTACAAATAAAATTTGGTTCAATTTAATTTTCTGATGCCAATACTATTAATTTTTTGGTATTAAATGGATTAATTATTTCTAATTTTAATTTTAAATTTAAATAAATTCAAAAAAATTCGTAAAATATCATATTTTAGTAAACCCGATTTTTAAGCAAAAAATTTTTTTTAACTGGAAATCACCAATTATATAAATTAATGTGTTTATTTATTTATTTAATATAGTAACATTTAATTTAATTAATAATTAATAATATTACCATAATTCATAATTATATATGTATATATTTTTTTTGCTTTTTCGATATTTTAGCAGAAAAATTTAGATCAAAATTTTTTATATTAAATATTTTTAGTATTATTAATATATTATACAATAAAATTAAATATTTTTTATCAGAATTAAAACATAACGACGATATATAAAATGCATAAATAAAATGTAAAAAATTTAAAAAATTAAAATATTAAATAAAATGGTAAAAAAAAAAAGGACTGAGTGAAAATAGATAAATTTAAAAAGCCACAAAATTATTTAAAAAATATAAAAAAAAAATTAGGTTATTTTTAAATTAGTATAAAATTTAATGGGGATTTAAACAATATTTTTTTTTTCGCAACAAAAAATAAAAATCTTATAATCCAAAAGAATAAGCGCAAATGATTTTTACAAATTATTTGAGTAAAATTTTTTTGTAATCATATTGCTATTGTATTATTTAATATTAAATTAATTTAAAAATCCATTTTTAAAATATTGTTTATTTAAAATTGCAATGATATTATTAATTAATATTTTAATAAGAAACAGGATATTAATGTTATTAGAATTAAAAAAATTATTAATTTTTCTAATTAATTGATTTCATAATATTATTACAATTTTTTAATAATCATTTTATATTAATTGTCCATAATAAAAAACAATTCAGAAATTAAAAACGTTGCATTAAAATTAAAAAGAAACAATTGTTAAAATTTCTAATTTTATTGCCAAAAATTTTTCATAAGAATTTTTATTTTATTCATGTATTAAAATAAAATGCACGAATATAAGTTATTTGTATTAAAATAACTAACACCATTATTCATTGACCTGATTGATCAGCTTGCAAATCTAAACAAGTTTTTAAATTACGTTTGTATCTTTATCTTTTAAGAGAAGGGTTCTTATTAATATAATTTCCAAATATAGTTACTCAAATGGTAATACAATACTAGCATAATTTAAAGTAAAATTTCTTAATTTGTAAAATTATTTGCCTTTATATTTTGGATTATAATTTTTTAAATAAAATGAACTGATTTATATATTAATATTTATAAATTAAATACATTGTAATATGTATATATATTATTTAAATACAACATAATTTTTTAAAAAGTGCAAACATTTATAATTCATATATATATATAATGTGTACGTATGTACAAGAAATAATATATAAATTATATAAAATCAAAATTATTAAATAAATTTATATACAAAAATGTATATGTAATAATAAAATATAAATTTATAATTACAAAAAATATTATACTTATTAATAGTTTAATTTCATTATTATTTTAATAATATAATATTTATTTCATATAAAAAAACAAAAAATTAATTGAAAATATACATATTGTATATGTATTAAAATTCGATAGAAAGGATTAAAAAAAAAAATATTTTTATATTTTTTAATAAAAACTTATTTTCATTTTTCCGTTTTTATTAACATTAACTATCATTATTTTTTTTTTAATTTTAAATGATTAAAACTAACATTGAAAATTAATAATTTATATACCATATATATATATTATATTATTAAAACATAAATATAAGTAAAATAAATTAAAATTAAAATACAAAAATAAAAAAAAAAAGAAAAATTAATCTTATTCTTAAAAATTATTAAATTGTAGTCGTATAAAAATAGTAAAAATTAAAACAAATGAAAACAAACATTAATTAAATGAAATAAATGTGTTTTTTGTGTATTAGAATATTAAGTAAATGCATTAAATTAAAAAAAGAAAATACAAAAAAATACTAAAAAAAAAATTTAAGAAAAACAAAAATGTTGTAATAAACAAAATATGTAAACAATCTTACAAAAAAAAAAAATATTTAAGTATGACTTTAAAGCAAATACAAAAAAAAAATTCAAATATTGAATTTTGAAACAAGAAAATTAAAAAATGCATACATGAATTAAGGAATTTAAATTATAATTAGTAAAATTAATTAAAACAAAAATATTTCAAGCAAGCAAAAAAAAAAAACAAAGAAACAAATAAACTAAACTAAGTAACAAAAAAATTAACGTAATAGTTTTATTTTAAACATAATAAATCATAAATAAATATTAAAATTAATTAAATAAATTGAAATTTTTGAAGGAAAAATTAAAAAGCCGAAAAATTTAATCAAAAAATTGCATTGTATCCTCCATAAAATTTTCCATTTTTTATATCGTTTCTCTTTTAAAATTTTCCAATATTTAATTAAATAAATTAATTATACATTTTTTCTTCATAACAAAGAAAAAAAAATTTTAAATTTTTCAATTAAGAATTAATTGTATCATTAATTGATTAATTTTTCAATTAAAAATTCAATTATTAAGTGATTGATAAATTTCCAAATTTAATATTCTTTTTTCTTTTTATTGAAATGCAAAAACATCTTCAAATATAAATTTTTTACAAGATTTTTTCTATTTTAAGAAATTTGCTAAAAAAAAAACTTTCATTTTTTTTTTATTATATTAATAAAATCATATTCTTTCCTTAACACTACATTCTATATTTTCAAAAAAATTTTTTAATAATTTAAAATTTTTCCATATTGAAGGAAAAAATCTTTATTATTTTTATTTCAGTCAGTTTGAGGATTACAATGTTTATTTATAAAACAATCTAATAAATATATATTTCATTAAAATTGCATTAACATAATTACATTACATTTACATAATATACATTTAAGCCACATTGAATTAAAGAAAATAATTAAAATGCATAACATATATACATATTTATATCATATAAAATTGAAATAAATTTATTTTCAAACGATTAAATCAAATCAAAAAAAAAGAAAAACAAAAAGGTGCGGCAGGCTCTGCATCTTCGTATTATAAACTATAAATAAATAATTAATATACTTATAATTAAAATAAAAATTATAAGTATCTGAACTAATAATATTACTATAGAAAAAAAAAAATAAATAGATACAAAAAGGAAATCGAACCTTTTTAAAGAAAATTATATTTTAAATTTTTATTTGTTTTGTATTTTATTATTATTTCCTCGGGCAAAAAAAAGGACTATAATTTTTGTTTCATTTCTTTTTTCAGATATTAATATTAATTGTTTAATTAATTATTAATAAATTTATTTAAAATATATTAATTACAATGTTTATTTGCCATTTAAAATTTAATAAGATTAGAAAATTTGAAAAAAATTAAAAAATTAAACATATTTTCCTCAGAAATTAGAATAATAAATTTTACCAATCATATTGAAATCATTAAAGTCATATTAAAAAAAAAAAAAATATGCTTGAAAAATTTTGTTACAAAATTTTTAAAAAAAATTCCTTTTTTTATTATTTTATTGAATAATTTTAACTTTTAAAATTAGTATGTACACGATTATATTCGAAAATATCAAATATACCATAAATAATTTAAACAGAAATGAATAAAATTAAAAAAATACATTTTATAATATAATTGATTTAATTTCTTAAAATATAAATAGCATTTATATTGAAACAATTAAATATCCAAAAAAAATAAATAAATAAATATTGAAACAAGCATATTTTTTATAATAAATTTCAACTTTGTTTATTGGCAAATTTTTTATTTTACACAAGAAAAATATAATGACAGTGAATTTATCTGCAATGTTAATTGTGTTCTTATAATTTTTTTTTAAGTCTTTAATTTTTTTTATATTAAATTTGTGCATTTAATTTTGTATAACAAAAAACCAAAACAAACTACATTAAAAATTTTTAATATAGAAACTTTTAAATAATTAATTCATAAATATAAAATTTTATTTATTTTAAAAACAAAATTGCTATAAATTAAATAAAAATAAGATATTATAAATTTTATAATATCTTATTTTTATTTGATCTTATTTTTTCAAAAAAAAAAAAAATTTCCTTTCAAATATTTACAATAAAATTAAATAATTAAATTAATGCTTTCTTTTTTTTTATTTTATAATCATAATATTATGTTTCAATGAACAAAAAAAAAAAAACAAAAGATTTAATCAATAATAATTTTAATTATCTATGAATTTAACTTAATAATATTATTATTAAATAATTTTACTATATAAATTATGTATTAGTGAGTCTGACAGAATTTAAAAAGAAAAAAAAAATTAATATTTAATATTTATAAAAACAAAAAAATTTTAAAATAAGAAAAAAAAAAGAGCAAAAAAACCTAGTAATTGAAAAAAAAAATATTCAATCTTTAATTTAAAATATAATATAAATATAATATTACACAAATAATACATAAAAAAATATACAATTAATATTTATACATAATAATATTAATTAAATACAAAATATAAAGCAATTATTATTATAAAAATAAATAAAAAACATACATATATAAAAAGTAATTATTATTTTTATGATTTTTTATTTTCAATATTTTATAAATGTGAACTATTATTATATTTAAAAAAAAAATTAAGCTCATTATTTGCCAAAATGAATAAAAAAAAATGAAAATTAAATTTAAAAAAATGAAAAAGGAAAAATTGAAAAAAAAAAAAAAAAGTTCTTAGTAAAAAAAAAATCTCTTTTAGAAAAACGAAAATTAACTATTTATATAGGTACTATAAAAACGCGAAATAATCACAAATATATTATTATTAAACAAAAAAAAAAAAAATTTTAGTTTTTAAGTTTTGTTTTGTATTTTTGTTTTTAATTTTTAATATTGTTTTGTGAATTTATTTATATATATATATATTTCAGTACATCCTAGTAATGTAAATGAATATTGTACATACTTTGGTTTCATTTGAACAAAAAATAAAATATTACGAAAACATTTTCAGTGGTTTTTAGTAAATTAAATTTATAATTTTCTTTTTTTATTTAATTATACTTTAATTATATTAAACATACCAATTAAATGATATTTAATTAACTTGACATATATAATAACTGCAGAATAACTTCCATGATAGCTTCTAATAATTCCACAATAATCTTCTATCTTATATCATCAGGAGGGTGGATCTCGAGCGTATGTTTTAGGGCATGCCCCGCACTCGCATGGGGGCGCAAAATAAATCCTTATACGTGGTCGCGTTGCACTGTTGCCCCCATTGTACAAATCTAAAATCATTTATATCACAAAATAAACTACTTGCACACATAGTTTTATTTTTAATATATTCAGCAGATTTTTCAAAACTGGTATTCTATTATTTAAATTCTGTTTTATTTAAAATTTCCTAAACTATTTCAGAATTCCTCGAATTGTACAACAGTTTTTAGATGGTTTTTGTAATTTTATTTGATAATTCTTGAATATTTACTTTTCTTCTTATTCTTGAATATTTTACTGTTCTTCTAATGAATCTCCACCAATTGGTGTTGATATAGTGTAATAAGTTGATCAAAACTAATTAATAATTCATGATGTTCCTAAAAATATTTGTTTACCATATTTCAATTAATAATTTGAAATTTAAAAGTAATCAATTTAGTTGTATTTATTGCATAAACAACACTTTGGAACAATTGGATTCATTACATAATTTCTTTTTAAAAATACATAGAAAGTTTAAATTTTCTTTAAAAATTTGATAAATGCTGTATTACAATTAAAGTTTCTTGAAATGAAATTTCATTTGTAGTATTTTAAACTAGTTAAAAACTATTTACCTTTATCTGTTGTTGATTGCTTTTCTTATTATTGTTCCATTCTAGAGAAATTCTAGAAGAAATTCTTCTTTCAATCACAACAATAATATTTGTAAATTTTTTATTTTGAATAAACATTCATATTTTGTTAGATGGATCACTGGAAGTGATTGTTCAAAATTTTATGTATTCGGGAACGCAAATCATTGAATCCAATTGAAAATTTTGTATTATAAATATTTCTTTTCAAACTGACTAAACAATTGTACTTTTAAGCATTCTTCATCAATTATTCACAAAAATTAGTTATATCAGTCCGTTTTTTGCTGCATTTAATAATTTCAGAGATTTAATAAGACCATAATATTTAATGTTTAAGTTTATTAGTTTCTTAAATAGAAATTATAAAAACAAGAAATTTATTCATAAGACACAAAAATAATTTAATACGTTGTTAATAACGTCAAGATTTAGATTGAAATATCTATTTTTGGTATAATTACTTTTCTTCAAAATTTTTAAATTGTAGAATTTTTAAGTCCAATTCCTGAACACTCGATTGTGCATGTTCCATCATTATTTTCATTTACTTGAAATTTTACCTTCAAATTAAGAATATTTTATATAATTTAAGATATAAGATTTAAGAATGTAGACATAACAAAACTTATCAATAGCAATTATAGTTACCTTAGCCAAAGACTCGGCAATATGAATGGCTGTTTTAGTGTGTAAAGTAATAGGTAACGTTTTTATTCGACTTACACCATTGGCAAGGGCCATAAATATAATTAATTGATCTTGAGTAAATGAGTCAACACAAGCCTTTAATTTTAAACATTGTTCTATTTCAGCAGCAGCATTTCGTCCCGTATCAAATGGTTTTTCTTTTCTATTTCCTAGTGCAGATCCTCCTACTACACAATTTGTAGTTGTTTCGCATCCGAGTCTTTGAAAAAATAGGAATTTTCGATACATACATTTAAACATTTACAATATTAAGTTATCTCAATAAGATTCTGGACTTACACAATCCCCGAGCAATTACCATCTGCAATCTTTGGATCTTCTTTATAAGCTTCTACATTTATTGATTGTGAATAATTTGAAAATATTCGTTTAGCTCCATCTGCCATCTCATTAGCAACTTTAACTGGTAAAACACCAGAAACAAAACTCCATCCAAACAACTTATCGATTTGTCCAAAATCAGTAATTGAACAAGGTATTAAATGTCTTACAGGTTTTATAATTATTCTACAATGTCCACCACCTTTTGGGAAATATCTGTAATTGTAGATCATTTACAAGTTGAATAGAACATTATTTCCTTTGTTTATTTATAAAGTATCTAACCCTCTTTTCAAAAGATCGAAATCAAATGTTGCATGAAATTTTTCTAAATTGGCACGAAATATTTCTGTTATGTAATCAATTTGTGGTGCCATAGCTGCATTAGTTCCGCCTTTTAAGTCTAACGTTGATTCACCATTAGCAAATAATAGAACTGGAAGGGCCACTTGAATCAATAATGCAATACTCCTAGAAATTTAAGTTTTGTTGAAAATATGTATGAAAATATTATTTATTATTTTAAATGTTAAAATCAAATATACCCAGCTGTTTGAGTATCACCATAAAAAATTCCATTTTTAATATGTTGGGGATGAAAGTGAAGCTCTGTCGAACCTAAATGATCTCCTTGTACACGAGCATTACTTATCTCTTTTAATAACTGAACACCTTTTAAGTGTTGAGCAGCTAGTCCTGGTTTTGGACGTGAAGCACGTATATTAAATATATGGACTGGAATCTTTAACAAACAGCTCAAACTTAATGCATTTCTCAAAATTTGACCACCCTAAATTGCACCATATTAAAAATAAGAATTAACATCTGTTCCTAAACTATAATTTTAATAATCATATTATACTTACTCCTTCAAGGACACTTCCGTCAATTTTAAAATACTGATTAGACATAGTTTTGAGTATGCCTAATATTTTAGTTTCCAAATTCAAAATCAAAACTTCCTTTCTAACGAAATTATTATAAATGTTGTGTTTATATAGATTACTGCTTGATATAAAAAATTAAAATTCAAATTGTCAAAAGCCGGGTTGACGTTTTTGAGTAGCATAAGTTTCGGTAGCTTAAATGTAGCATATTGAATGTTGCTGAAAAGTTTTGCAACAATATTTACAAAACAATTTATGAATACTTGAAATTAAATAACCAGCCGTTTACATAAGCATGTTACCGGCTTGACATAGTAAATGTCGAATAAAAATACTTTAACCCGATGCAATGTCACAATTTCTCATATTATATTGTCGTTTAAGGAATTTCGAGAAATCGAGAAAATGTAATTTTTGAATTTAAAATTAAGACTTTTCAAACTTCTTTGAATAAGAAATTAAGACTTTTCAAATGTCTCAAAAATTTAATATTAAATTCAAAAAAAATTGGAGTAGTAGAACGTATTTTAATTATGAGACAACGCTTTCTACATTGTTTGATAAGCTACTTTTTTTTCATGAGTTTTTATTATACAATTTCGACCAAGTGACAATGTAGTCAAAAAATATTAAGACATTCAGTATACCAAGCAAAATTGCAACCCATACAAAAATTTTACTAGCGGTCTGAAATTTTTAGGACCTGATCGTCTATCTTGCTATTTTACTTGCCAATTTTCCAGTGAGAAGAATTATTCGGTATTGCGTATCTCATTTTTTGTTTTAAATGTATTCAAAATTTATTTACTTTGTTTTGGAAGTGAGACGTTCAATCAATAATTTGAGAAAAACTGCAAAAATCCAATTGAAAAAAATTAATAATCCTATTGGAAAGGTGAAATATCCATTAGAAAAACGGAGAAAAAATAAATAAATAAAAATAATATTTGTAATGTATTTTTTTATAATACATATTATATCCGGACATTCGGCCCTAATTTTTAACTAATCAAAATTTTTAATTTAACTGTATGTAATCATAAGCAGATTACATTGTAAAGTAAAAATTATCTTGTTCTAACCTGACAGTGAGAGGAAACGCTTTTTAACACATTAACAAAAGTTTTTGCTACATGGGTTAAATTTTATGGTTTCTTTTAAATGTCATATAAAAATTTTAGTTGTCATAATAAGAGTCACTATTTAGTACTTTACATATTTTATACAAAAATAATACAACACCATAAATGTTTTGTTTACAAATTTCTATAATATTAAATTCATAACAGAAAATTAAATTTATTAAAAGCCAAAGAAATATATAATTTCCAAATACAATAATTTTTTTTTAATAAGCTCTTCCCGATAATTAGAAAAGAATAATTCGATTTCAGGTCACGCCCTAGTATTTTTATACACTATTGCTCAGAATGAAGACAATTTTATTATTACCATTATTTTTATGCATTTTAACTAAATCAGGTAAGATTATACAACATTTAAATGTTTACCTTAATTATTTTCAAATAAATCAATGGAGTAAAATTTATTCGAGAGAAAAAGAAGAAATTCTACCTACATATGCACCCACTGAACATATTGTTTGTTTTTTATAAAATACAAAATTTTAAAATATGCATTTAGCTTACTCAATAAGATGTTATATATGTAATACAACTGATTCAACAACTCCATTCCAATGTGGTGAGTGGTTTGAAAGATTTGATCATCCTGATATACAACCTCAAGACTGTTCTGCAGTTCATGGAGCACAGTACTGTATTAAGCATATTGGACGTTTTGAAGGTATTGTCACAAAAAAAAAACACACTGACCGAAAATGGGAATGGCAACTACATAATTTAACAATCTATCATAATATTAATATTTTCATAAATACCATATTTTTTAACAAAAACATCAAAATGGTTATCATACTTACAATTTTATAATAATTTACCTTGATTTCTTACTAATTTTATTTATGTAATCTTTTAACAAATTAACACTTGTCCTTAACCAATATTTCAATTAAATTTTTAGTTAATTCCATCTATTGTTATCAATGTTCGTCAGCAGAAACAATGAGTTGTTCTGATTTAATAATAAATATGCCCGATTCACCTTTAAAACCAGAACCATGTGATCATGTAATTGAAGCTCAATATTGTATCAAATCTACAGCTTTAAATGGTTAATATAAGAAATCCATATTTATATTTTTCTTCCTGGTTTTTTTAACATTTTGATACAATAATATTTTCCAAAAAAGAAATTTAAAAGTATTGCTTTATTAAAAATACTTGTTCTTGTTTTGCTTGTCGAGTTTTTTTTTTTTTGATAGAAAACAAAAAGTTTATGATCTAGCAGTAGCAAAAAAAAATCCTTTATTTCATTTATAATAAGCCTTCTGTGCTTGTCGTTTTAAATTCTATCTATCCTAAACTTTAGAATTTCCTTGTAGATCGAATATGCACTGTTTGAAGTTAACAAAACACTCTTAACACAATTGCTACTATATATTCATGTCACAATATAAATTAATATTTAGATATTTTTTTGTTAAAATTTTTTTGGTAAAAAAAAAAAATTAGGTGGAATTGGAGCTAAACGATACTGTTCTTCTAAAGATTTAGGCAATTATTGTGATTATGTTAAACAACGAGGAGATACTATGGAATATCGATCTTGTATATTTACATGTAGTACTGATGGATGTAACAACACAATATCTATACAACCGCAATTAAAGACTATTGGATTTTTGACAATTTTAACTATTTGTATGAAATTTATTATTAAGTAAAATATTTATTTAAGCAATTATAATTTGAAAAATAAAAAAAATAGTCATTCCTTATAAAACAAACAAGAAAGAGACAATTTACAAATTTGAAAATGTAAAACGCTTAAAATACCGTCCATTTTTTGTGTAATCGAATTAAAATTGTAAAATTAATGTACAACATTTTAAATTTTTTAATAAAAATTTTAGAAAAAAATTTTTGTTTATTTTTATTTAATTTTGATTACGAAATTAATAAAATTTATATTATAAATTTTATATTTTTCCCAAATATGAAGTACGACACAATTTTTATTCTTATTCATTCGAAATTAGTAAAATATTAGATTAAGAGAAATGAATGCATATATAATTGGATTAATATTTTGATCATATATTAGTAAAGATAGTACAAGAGGGTCATGTAATAAGTAATGTTCCAATAAATTTTTTTGGAATATAAAAATTTTCGTTAAGATATAAAATATAATTCATCGTATGAATTAGAGTTGTTTATTTTTATAGTCACTATAATTCCAAAACTAGGATATGTAAGTACGCCAGTTATCATCATCCCCAGTGTTAACTTAATAGTTTATTTATTTAGACATTTTTTAAATAAATACGTACTGTGTTTTAGCTGTTCAATACCTACATAGTTAAATAATTAACTAGATTATTAAACTTGTTAAATGTTTTTTATAACTCCATTAATTCTATTTCAATGCATAAAATTTGAAAAATAATTCAAACTTACTTGATTATTGGTAGAAAAAATATCAGTAATAATTTTTAAATATTTAATCCTTTTAATATAATTTGTTATCTTTAAAAAATAACATCTTTTTTTTTTTTAAATATTTTGAGTTATTAATAAAGAATACAAAAAATATTAAGCGAAAAGCTTTATTTATTTATTGACTTAATTAAAAATATTAAATTTATTTCACAATAACATCAAAATGCCATGGAACTACAATTATAATTATTAAATAATAAATTCGTATGAAAATAAATTCTCAAAATACATAAATTTCATTCATTTTTCTTTTCTTTTTTACCATATTATCTTCGTACAAAAAGCTTTACGTTAACTTAATTATTACTAATTTTGTTTTTTTTTTTTTTAATATAATATACTACTATATTATGTAAATGTTTTATAAATAAATACTGAAATAATTATTTGTTTTGTTTTGTGTTTTTTTTCTCTATTATAATTTTGAACTAAAATTGCGTTAATTAAATACATTTCTTTTCTTCAAAATACTATTTGAATTTGAGCAAAATATTAAGTGTTTTTATTTTAAGCTAAATTTGTGACATTATTTTTTTTATTTGAAAATTCTTTATTACATTTTGTTTTATTTATAAATTTTATATTTTTGAAAAATGAATTTTAATCAGAGTTGGATATGAGTTTTTTTTATTTAGACATTTACAATATTGGCTCTAATATTTTTAATGATTGAATTTAAAATTATTTAAGTATGAATATTTTATTATATGTATGTAATTACAAATTTTTAATTTGAATTTTTCACTTGATTATGTTTTGTTTTTTTTTTTTGGTTTTATTTTTGTGTTATTTTTTTTCTAATAAATTATATTTAAATAGATACTATATAGAATTTATTGGGAGAAAATTATATTAAGATTTTTTTTGATATTTAACAAACTGTTGAATAATGTAAAATGAGTAAATTTCTTAAATTTAAAAAGACAATACTAAATAACTAGCAATCTTAAGTAATTAATTTAAAATATGATGTATTCAATTAAAATAAATTTATTTTATTTTATTAATTAATTAGATTATGAATTAATTTTTAATACTCTGCCCAGGAAACAAAAAATATATAATTGATTTTAAATATTTCAGATAATCTTAATTATTTTTTGTATGAAATCAGATATTTAAAAATAGTTATTAATCAACAAAATTAGGTAAATTTCACTTTTGTTTTTGAAACCGTCAATAACACTCATTATAAGAATTTTAAATTTATATAATATTTAAAAAATTTACTTTTTTTTTTGTTAAAATTAAATTTGATTTTAAATTTTAATTATTTTTTAAATTGTAAATATTTTTGTATATCATGATTTTTTAAAATTAGTATTTATAAATTAATTTTTATCCGGCAGGCATAGAATAAAAACTATAAAGAAGAATGTAAAAATTTAAAATTTTAAAAATTACAACTTTTAAGATTTTTAAAAGAGATTTTCAAAGAGAAAAAAATATTTTTGTAATATAAAATGCGAAAGCAATTTTTTTTTTGAAAAATTCTTATAAAATTTTTTTTGCTATTTAATTAAGCTTTCTAAATTTTGATTTAGAAAAATTTTTTTTTTATAATTTTACATATAAAATTTTTTTATACGTTTTTAATTCACTTTGAAATACAATCTAATAATTTAGCACATGTACATAATATAAGCATACATGTTTTATTTATGTTAATTATAATATTATTGTAGATGTATATTTTTTCATTATTATTCTTAAAATCTAATTGTAAAAATTTTTTTATTCGCAAATATTTAGAAAACCTGTAATAATTTCAAGAAAAGGAATAAAAACAATATTGTTTAAAAAAAATAGTTACTTATCAAAAATAAACAGAATCTCATTATATAAAAAAAAAAAACTAATATAGAATGATTATAAAATATATGAAGTCAACCATTAATAATAAAAAAAGAATTATAAAAAAAACATGTTGGTTCTTTTCAAAAGAACATTCTTAAAAAACAGTGAGTTACGAAAAAACACTTATGTTTAAAATGTTAAATGCACCATATTCGTTTAAAATTGAATACTTTTTTACTTAAAAAAAAATTATTATAATAAAAGTAAGAAAAATTTGATATTATTTTCAATTTAATTTCATTTTCAATAATTTCAATTGTATGAAAATTTGAACTAAATCCAAAAAATATATATGTATATATATATATAATCAAAAAAAAATGATTATTACATGGTTTTTTCCTAATAAAAAATTATTATTTTTGTATAAAAATACATCACAATTTTTATATCATTTTTAAAATTTTGTTTTCTAAACTATTTAAAAAAAAAAAAATAAAAATTCGTTCTGTTGACACCATGATAATGATTAGCGTTCTTTTATAGCAAAAAGAAAATTTTATAAAACAAAAATTTCTCTATTATTTTTAAACTATGGTTCATTTAATTTAAAAGAAAAAAAAAACTTCTTTTTTTTTCATTCATTTGGAAGCAGTTAAACGTTTTATTTCCAGTTCCAATTCTTGAACACGTTTTTCGGAACACATTAATTGGTTTTTAAGATTTTTAATCTCTTCTGCTTGACATCCATAAGCTTTACGTAACTAAAATTATAATAAAAATATAAATTGAATATATTAGTTGATCTGAGTTATTAATTTGAAAATTTGCATTCATAACAAATTGAATATATGAAAATATGTTTCCTTTTGCTGTTTAAATGTATTTAATAATTAATTTATTAAAACTATAAAAATTCAAATCACAAATCATTTACGAAAAATACATTTTCTTACCTCTTTTTCAGTTAAATTTAAAGGTATATTTTCGTAAGAATCTTTAGAACTTATCAAAGTATTTTGATAATTTGAAATCTCCTTCATAGTTTGATGAGTAAATGCAGCTTGTAATTTGTTAAATTTTGTGCTTTCATTTGTTGAAGTTTTAAAACTTTTATCAAACTGAAAACAAAAAAAGAATTGAATTGAATATTTTTTGTTAAACTACTAAATTTTATTATTCTTACGTTCGGACGGTAATCTGGAACCGTTTCACGAGATAAAAATGCAAATTTTTTCGAATTATTATCAACTTTCTTTGCCGACATTTTTTCAATTTCATATTTATCAATATTTTTTTTATAATTTTTTTCATCGTTGCCATTTGTTACAATACTGTTATCTTGATGATTTTGCTCTAAAAATTTTTAATACAAAAACAAAACATTTATTTGATTTAATGGATTTGAGGTACGCATTGAAACCTTACCGAAAGCTAAGGACATCGTTATTGGCTGAATATTTCGGCCAGACAACCATTCAGCTGCTGTTGTAGCTGGTTTCATTGCCGCTGTATCTGGATACAAATCACTTTGAAATCCTGCAGATTTTCTTGGAACAATCATTGATATCGGTTCACAAATATTACCAGATGCATATATTTTATAAAAGCGAAATATTTCACATTGTTGAACATTTAGTCCTCGTTTAGGTAATACACCTAAAGCTTTTTGTGGTTGACCAGATAAAAATTGATTCAAATAATAAATATATGGTGGTTCATCAACAATTTCATAGTACCTTATGTTACCATCACCTTTTCCAGCTAAATATAGCTAAAATTTTATATGATTATGTCTAATTTTTAGTCTAATTTTAATTAATATAACATTTATACCATTTTGGTATCGTAATCATAATATGGGGTGATAACACCTGAGGAACTATCCACAACTTCTTGAACTAATGGAGTTTTTAAGTCATGTTGATCCCATAAAGCATATTGTCTATCAGAATGACGAGAAAAACCGGTTGTCAACACTTTTCCATAATCCAGAAATACAACTTTGGTACATTTAGTACTAGCATGACAAATACCTTCCTGCTCAATAAAAGAATGTTTAAAAAATTAAACAGGAAAATATATATTAAAAAAACATTTGCTTACAGATACTACTATAGCACTTCTTGGTTCTATAATGCGTAGTTTTTTGTCTTTGGATGTTGTGGCTATATAAGATCCATCACGATTAATAGCCAGAGAATAAATTGTATCAGTGTGGCAGTTAATTGTGCTAAGAATTTCATTTGGCTTTGTTAAATCCCAAATTAAAACCTTTCAAATAAAACAATTAGCTTAATATATAAAATAATAATGCAAAAAAAAATATATATTTACCAAATTATCGAAACCAATAGAAAATAAAATGTCATCGGCTGTTGGATGCCACTCAATTTGAAGTACTTTCCTTTTATGACCAAGTAGTTCAATTTTGAATTCATCCATGTTTGATGTAAGACCATTTTCAGGAATTTCCCAAATTTTAATCTAAAGAAATTACAATACTAAATGATTAAATCCTCATTTACTTTAAATATATTTTTTTTAAATCTTTTTTCAACAAAACTAACTCACGGTACAATCATCTGCAGCAGATGCAATAATGTTATCATTAAAGGGATTCCATTTGAGATCTGTAATTTGTCCAAAATGCCCAATTATTTTGCATGATTGGAAATCTATTCGTCCAGTCTACAAAAAAAAAACATACGACATTAAAATTTTTATAGGTTATAATAAATGGGTTTTATACTTGGCTCGCGGATATAATCGCAAATGTGGAATCAACAGCTAATGCTAAAAATTTTGGATTTGCTGCGCAAACATGTCCATCATTCGTATTTCTTACAACATTTACATCTGTATAACATGATTCTTTTCTTGATGGTAATCCGTACACATGTCGAAATTTTGATGGTCTTACACCACGGAACCAAAGCTACAATTTTGATAAAAGACATTGTTTAAAAATTAAATATTAACTATTTTTATTAAAATGAGAATTATTCTTTTAAAATCTTTACCTTGTTGTTTGTCATTTTCAAAACTTTTGTAAATAAATTTTCAGAAATAAACTTATAAAAGAAAAATACTATTTACTATAAAACAAAAAATAAAAATATAAATTAAAAAATAATAAGAAAACACATTAAAAAAATATATTTTTAATATATATAAACTTTAAAAAAGTTTGATAACAAAAAATGCTATTAATAATGATAATTTAATTATTTGATCCCGTATAAAATTTTTGATATTGTAATTTATTTTTACGAACCTTAACTTAAATGTTAAGTTTCCGAATAATTTGAAAGTTTTAAAAATTTTAATAAAAAAAATTATAAAAATTTAAAATTAAGTTATTTGAATATATTCTTTTTGTTTAGAATTTCCTTGGGTATTTGCTAATGGGAAGAACTTTGACAAAATGACATCATTAAACTTTGAAAAAATCAGTAATAAATTGAATAAAATGCGAGATAATAATTTCTATCTTCAATTAAAAAAATATAAACTACATGCATATATGTATGTATATCTAAATAGATACGTGCCTATATGCTTTTATTGAGTTCTTCAATATACTGAAACAATATCTGAAATGTGCAATGTATTTGTGTTTTACTATCGCTAAGCGTACAATATATTATACAGATATATAAGTACGTCTGGCTATATAGAAATGTAGATATGAGAAAATAATCATGATTTAGAATATTTAAATATTTTTCAATTAACTTTGAAAAACTAAACAATAAACAAGAAAGCTATTACACTAATAGCCATACATTATTAATATTGTATAGCCATGCAATATTAAAAAATGAATTGCAATTGTAATAATAAAAAAATAATAATAGAAACATTGACTCGAGCACATCTTGTTCCGGTTTTTTTTTGCATTATTGTGTTCAGTACCTACTATTTAATAGTATACACATAATTGGAAATACTCCACATTTGTAAAAATTTAATGTTTACCCTGTCTATGGTAAATTCCACAAGCAGTATTAGAACCCATTCAATTAATTTAAAACAAAAATTTTCTCGTATATTTTTAATTGAGTAGATTATTCAAATCCATTTTACTTCTTTAATAAATTAATAAAAATATTTTAAGAGTATGCTTTCATAAATGTTCACAATTTTATCAGTTTTTCTTTTGTAATTTTGTTTTCCCTCTTTTATTATACAGTTGATATTTGAGCTAAAACATAATTGACAAACCTAAGGAAAATTTTCCACAAAAACAAAACATCAACAGGTTCTCTATCTCTATACTTGTAGCATCATAAATATGAATTATTATTTTTATATTGTATGAATTTTGAAAGAAGGTTCGTGTTTGGGGGTTGATATGCAAAATAGCTGGAATTTTCTTTATACTTCGTGTTTTCTTCCCATATATTATGTATGTCAATCAATAGATTTTGTTTTAAGTTAATTAGAATATTGAATTTTTGATAGGGTGACATCATTTTGTAGGCAATAAAAAATTTTATGTCTTCCTGCGTACAATCTACATTCTATATATAAAAAAATTTTTAAGAAAATTTATAACGCAGCATTTTTCATTATCTAAACTCCTTTTCAATACTAAATCTAAATTTGAATTTTTAAAAATTTAAAAAAAAATACCTTTTTCTCTGGTTTAACACAAGAATTTGAATCAATAACACTAGAAATTAAAGAGATCTTTAAATCGTGTCCTTGCTCCTTTTTAATAAACGTATCCTTTAGAATATCCTCGGGCATATTACAAGAAATTAATCCTCTGAATTAATTTGATTTCACAAAAATTTTTGTAAACAAAAAATAATTTCGTAGCTTTTTATATTTTAAAAACTTAATTTTTTTTATATAATTTTGATTTTTAAATTGAAAATAATTTAATAAAATATATTTAAAAGAGAAAAACACGATCCGATTAAAATAAGAAAGTTTTGTTTGATTATTAATGACGGCTTGCTTTACTATTTATTTAATGTGTTGCCGTTTAAAGTTATTTAGCTAAATTTCTACTGCATATTTAATGTTGAATGTTGACATTATATACTGAAATATAGTCAGTTTTAAAACTATTTAAAATATTAGAAAAATTTTAATATTTAAATTAGCTATAATGGAGTTTACATTTTTTAGTTTTTAATCAGAAACTCTTCCTTCTCAATTCTATTACGGAATTTTCTATTATTCAAGAAAATAATTTGAAATATGTATTTTTTGTTTTTAAGTTGTATTTTAGAGTGTTTCTCAATTGTCATTTTTTGACAACTGTTCATGATGGTTGTTTGAATTAAATTTTCTATAGATGAAAGGTAATGTCATTATACACAGCATGTCATATACATTTTTATTTATTTTTATATAATTCAATATTGGACTTAATTAATTATTTTAATAATAACACAGAATTTACATTTTTTTTCAAAGTCCATCTATTAATTATCTTATAATGTTTAAAAGAAAGAAAAATAAAAATATTTTTTCCAACGAAGTGTTATCGTTTGAAATTTTGTTTTACGAAACGGTTACACTATTTTGGGTACGTTTAGAAATTGATAACGAAAAGTTTTTATTGTTGCCAATTAGTGACATATTACAAAAAAGAAGTAATTAACGGCTGATTTATACTGTCTTAGAAATAAATGTATTCAATTACTTTTTTCTTGAGTACAATGCTTCTGAATGGAGTTCTATTTCTTTTCAATTACCTTTTTTTATAGAAAGATACAGTTCGTATCTTTATACTCCATTTAAATTCATTTTAAACTATTTTCTTCTTTTTTCTTATAATTTCTTCTTTTATACTCTCATATGTATTAATCAATAGCAAAATTTTCTAAATTAAGTTTGAATATAAGTAGCTTCAACCATATGTAGTTATATAAATGCTTTTCGGATTTATCGATTTAATATAAACTCACATATTATGTGCAAGTTCGCCAAGCGAATTTAACAATTTGGTATTAGCTATCAATATTGTACAATTCTGTTATTGCGTAGAAATTTGCTTGTAAATCCATACGACATACACAATATGTACATACATATTTAATATGAAATGATAGCAAATTTGCCAGCTCAAAAGAATGCAAAAAGTTAGCGAATTTGCTATACATAATTAATTAACCTGTTAAGCGATTAATTTTTCTTAGACAGTTCGATTTATTGTGCTGACTTAATTTCAAGCGAAGACGCGTATTTACAAAATTTTATTAACGGGAAAATATTCGTTTTTTGCTTAACTTTAAATTTCATAGCAAATGCAATTTTCTTTTTCGGCATGACGCACATATACGACATCAACTAAAAAATGAACTTTTGAAATTGACACATATATACGACATAATCTCTTAACCGGTTAATAAATCTAAAAATTACCTATATGTACTCATAAGTACGCACTTATGCAAGAATAAGTTAAGAGGCAAATATTATGTAAGTGAATATGTAACACATTTTATAAAAATATGTACCTGTTGAAAACAAGTTTTTAAAAAATACCTAAATATTTACAATCTATTTTCAATATTAGAATTTAAGCAAAAATTAGTTCGAAAAATAATATGAGTTCTTGTTCATCCACTTAAAAAGCTCCATTAAGCAATAATGTCCTAACATAAAATCTTAAACCTAAGCCTATTTTATGTAATAAAATTCAAAGATAATTAAAATAAAAATTATTTTATTAAGTATTTTCTAATTTATTTTATATTCTTTTTGTTTTAAGAAATGCTTTATCTTCATTTAAGATAATGATATAAACATACAAAAAGTTGATGATTCATGCAATGATATTATTTTGTAAATTTAAAAAAAAAATCTAATAATGAAGAAAAATAATAAAAAAAAATCGAACAGAAACTAAAATCTTAAGAACAAAATTAACTAAGTTTTGTAGCCATCGAATGCATTTTTAAATTAATTTTTTATTTTGTTTTTATTTATTATAACTATTACAAATGCAATGTATTATTTGCTAAAGCTGTTTGTGCAATTGTTTGATTAACACGTTCAATCCAATCTGGTAACCCATCCATTAAATTTGGATAAATAACTAAACCCCATGTTTGACATGAAATAAATAAAACTACTATTGTAATGAGTGATGGACCAATTCCACATATTATCTAAAATTAAAAAAAATAAAATAAATTATTCTCCAAAATAAATTAACATTTACCATATCTTTTGTTCGTATATTAGCAAAACTCGCCACTATAGCATTTGGCGGTGTCGCCACTGGTAAATGAAAGGCCATACTACAAGCCAATCCAGCTGGTAATACTAAATACAATGGATGAATTTCTATTGCTAAACACTAAATTTTAAATTACAAGAAAAAAAAAACAAAACGAAAATTGTAAATAATTTAAGAACCATAAATAAATAAATTAAAATTACCATTTCTATTAAAACTGGAACTATTATGTTACACATAGCAACATTTGAACTAAATTCTGTTGCAAATTCAGCAAATAATATAACAACTAATAATAAAACTAATGGATGAAGTCCTTTAAGTCCTTTTAATCCTTGCCCAAGTAATTTATCCAACTTACTAACTTCTGTTCCCTTAGCTAATGCAAATCCACCACCTTAAATAATAAGATTAATTAATAATAATAAAGAAAATTTTGGGGAAAACATTTAAATTCATTACCGAGCAAGAAAATCAAACCCCATGGCACTTTTTGTTGAATAAATTTCCATGAGTGTAGAGAATTAATAGTTTTATTAGGAACGTCAGCTGCAATAAAATTTGTTAAGTTATTAATTTTGGAAATTTAAATTTATTTGCAATTTTTCTTACTGCTTTTTGAACACCATTTCAAAAACGCATAATTAGCTGGTAAAATGAAACATAAAATGACAACTAATAATGTTGGTGAAGCGTTCTTAATTTCACTGTAAATAAAATAAATTATTATTAAAATATTCTAAAATTTATTATTTATGTAAAATATAACAATATTTTAACAGTATGAACTTACGATTCAAATAAACTATCCCATCCAGTAAAAATACCTGGATGTCTAGTGAAATATAAAAGAATCATTAAAATAAATGCTATCATCACAGAGAATTCATGACAGCTCATCGGTCCTAATTGTTCATATTTTTCATCTATAACTTTACGAGCAACTTGTGCGCCAGCGTCACCAAGATTAACTTCTTTTGCTTCTTTACTATTTGGTCTAAATAAACCCATATATGCCCATTGCATATATAAATACATTAAAAATGTATAAATTAACATCGGTGGGACTGAATAGAACATAAATGTTGCAAAATCAATTGAGTCTTTGGCATTTGGAAATTTTCTAAAATAAAAATATTAAAAATTTATTTAATTATATAATATAAATAATTTGAGTTGGTTTTTATACCCATCATATATGCCTTTAAATGTTAAATTTGTTGCTGTCCCAATGATTGTTCCACAACCACCCATTGTAGCTGCATATGCTGTTCCCATATAAAAACACATTGTTATTTTTGATGGATATGGCGGTCTAATAAATGGTAGTAAAATAAATTTTTTAATTGAATTTTTCTAATGATATAAAATTAATTTAATTTAGCATATATTAATAGAGGCAAAATTTTGGACAAACTTACTCATCATCTGATTTCTTGACATCATCTCTATGTAATTTACACATGCCTTGCTGCAAATATAACAAAAAACAACAACTTATTTTAGAATAATAATTTTAAAAATAAAAATTAGGGAAATGTTGCGCTTAAGCAAGCTACCCAACTTAAATTTGTGTCACTTTTAATGATTTTTATGTGGAATTAAATGTTAAAATACTTCCGTAAAGGATTATCTAAAAATACCATTTTTACAATTGCGATTGTTTCTAGTGGAAATCAACTGATTAAAATATTCCCACAAGTTGTTTTTTTAAAACAGTTACCTAGACGTTGCAAACCTGTTATTAGATGATTTTGTATATAAAAATTTAGAAAATCCAACTTTACTAGAATCTAGAACAGATTGCTTACGCTATATAAATTTCTGTGTTATAAAACAGACTAAACATGAAGAATTTTTATAACAGCATCTATTTTAATTACTTTATTAAAATCCTATAATTTTTAATATTTATTAAAAGATTTAAATATTTTAATTAGAATAAGTATGCATAATTATTATAATTTGTGATTCGTATAAAGAAATTCCAATCATAATTTCGGAATTTTTCTAACCTATTAATTAGAATATAAATTATTGATTACCTATGAATAATTATTGTAAAATTTTCTTAATAACTTACTAATCACATATGAATTTATGCATAAATATGTAAAATATATAGTAACTCAATTTTACAAATCTATAATATAATCTAGAATTATTACAGTTTCTTTTATACATTGTATATTCTCTACGTTTTCTTTATTAATATTTTGTTCTATAAAATGTTCTACTTGAATGAATACCTAATAAACTTCTTTTTTTTTAGCTTTATTCACTTAAAAATTAAAATTTAATGAAACTTTTATTTATATAGACATTATTTATTAATAAAAAATATCAACCAAGCAACCTTGGAACCCAAAGTTAATATTTTTTCTAGTTATATTGTGAATGCTGTTAATATTATGTCTATTTAACAAAGATTTTATTTAATTATAGTAGGATTTAAGAGAGCTACTATATTGAAAACATATAATATTAGTCGCTAAATTACTATAAAATTAGTTGCAATCAAATGCAATTTATTCTATATTTACTACCATATTCTATTCGGTTGAGAGTGTAGTTAGAATATAGGAAAACTAACAAAAAAAGTATTTGCAATTGAATGCAATTACTCTATCGCGGAACTATTCCCTTGAACACCAATACAAACTTCCTGAAATACAGTCTTAGTTGATGCTTTTACAAAAACCTATCCTATTTTTCCGATCCTATCTAATACTTTTCAATTAATTTTTCCTATTTTTATTCTGAATTTCATTGTCTAACATTTGCAAAGAGCTTATATTTATGATTTTATTTTATTAATGCTGGGAATCATTGCATAAAATCATACTCGATACATTATGCATACGAGTATTCTTAATTTTAACATATTTCTTATAATTATTTAATATATTATTAAAGGAAACATACTGCTTCTAATTGTTCTAAAACGGCTTGAATAATTGGACACATCATTGCAGTAGCAGCTGCATTATTTATCCATAATGATATAAACATTGTAACAATAACCAAACCAAAATGTAATCTAAAAGAATTTAAAAATACATTTAAAAAATACAAATTTTATAAAATAAAAAAAAAAATTGTTACCTTCTGGGACTGCAGCCCACAATTTGTATAACTCTTAAAGCTAATCTTTTATGCAGATTACAATGTTCTACAGCTAAGGCCATCATAATACCTCCAATGAACATAACAAGAGTATCTAAAAAAATAAAAATAAAAAAAATTTTTAATTTCATTAATCAGTTTTATGTTTACATAATTTTTTTAAATCATACCTTTAAAGTATAAAGCGCAAGTGGCTTCCGATGACTACAGAAAACAAATAGAAGTAAAAAATAAAATGAATTAAAAAATTGGAAGAAACAATTTTAAATGACTTTACAAAAAATATTATATTAAATTGCCGCAATTGTTATGATAGCCTTTATAATTTTATCTAGTGTAACAGAATTTTGAAGCAAATAATACAAACACATGAAATAAATCTATTTTGACACCCTCGAGGTTCGAAAGTCTCTATTATAAAATGGTTGTGTCCATTATGGTAAACTTTCGAGATTTTTGTTTAAGAATTTAAATACCACAGCTATAAAAATTTGAGCAAGTCAAAATTTTGCTTTTGTTTGCAGAAAAAAATAAAAATTACAACACTAGTCTCCCCATACTGCCCGAAGTTGTCAAGTTTCATGGCGGAATTTAAAAACTTATCGAAAATCCGTCTTTAAGTGTCAATTATTTTTGTATTTAAACTAAACACTTAAAATTAATTCAAGATCTACATATTATTTATTAATCTAACATTTTGAAAATGTAGGGCATTTAAAAATTTTCAATTAATATAATGAATGCACTTAACGAATCAATACTATTATGAATCAATATTCTGTCACCACTATTTTCAATTAAGAAGTAAGTATAATACTAATATTTTACCATAATTCCCGCCACTGGAAACGCCACTATTGGAATCATTGATGTTACAGGTAATGGTAAAACTTCTGTTAACCAAAAAAATGACATTACAAGTAATATGTACAGACATCTGTATTCCTAAAATATTAAATAAAAAATTATTTATATTTTATTATAAAGACTATTTTTAAAATATTATTAAATAACCTTAACATATTGTGTTTCTATAAATAATAAAGGTGAAAATAAAATTGGTAATAAAAGGACTACAACTCCTTTCCAATGATATTGAAAAAATTTTCCTATTCTTGTACCACATGTTAATTTTTGTCGTCTTAATGCTTGAACTTCTGCATCAATACTAAATATCCTGGAAAAAAATGAAGATGTTAAAGAAAGCAAAAAAAAAACATTCATTTAGAATAATTTTTTTTTTTTTGATTTTCTTACTCTGGAGGAGCTTTCACTCCTTTTAACATAGTGTCAGTCTCTGCCATTTTAAATATTAGTTTTTTTTTATTTCTGAAATTAAAGAAAAACCATGAATTACATTAATAATGATATGTAAAAATATATTATGTGAGTAATTCAGTTGTTTATCAAAAATTATTAACACATTTTTGAAAATAATTAAATTAAAAAAAATTAAAAACAAAAAATTTCTCGTTTCGACATTGGAAACATTGTTATGAAGAAATGCTTACGATTAAAGGATTTTAATTATCAATAATATATAAGTACATAAATTATATTAAATAATTATGTTTAATTCATCAGGAGGATTGGTCTCCAGCATATATTGCAGGACGTACTGCACGCTCAGGGGAGGGGAGGGCGCACAACACACTCTTACACATGGTCGTGGTGCACTGTTGCTCCGTTTGCACAAATATACAAATCTATATTTAATTAAGAAGTTTTATGAAATTAAGTTTCTAATCCCTCTCAAAACTTTACCAAATCTAACAATGGAATTTTTTTTCGACTTTAGCAGGGTACTATGAAACAATAAAAAATTTCTTTTTTATCCGATTTTAAATGTTTGTTTATACTCACAGATATCAATGAGGACAAACTTGTAGATCAGATCAAGGACTATTCACTATTGTTTTATTAATAAAATAGTATCATGTTTTATTAATAATATAAATATATGTATCTTTATGAATGTATAATATAAATAAGTAGACGTAAATAGATAGTAGGCAAAAAATTGTCTTTATGCATATAAACGAAGGTAAAATGGACTCCAAAATGAGTAAACTTTTTAAAAATTAATTATTTCTTTTTGCTATTTCAATCAAATTTTATTTAAAGGTAGACCATTACAAAATTCTTCAAAAGTAAAGGGCGTCTACCAAAAAGCAAACGATACATTTCGGTTAAGTAGATTATTTTCTAGAGTCAGAATCTGCTTTGTTTTCCTTTTGTTTACAGAACTGTTAAGGTAATTTTGTTCCTTCAGATTGACCGCATGCTAAAATTTTTTTTTTCAATCTATCTAAATTTTGGTAAACACTACTGAAATTAATTGTACTTTCTGCAAATTTTACCAAAATTAAAAAAAAAATGAAAATGATGTCAAATTTTTTATTCGATTAATGTCCGTATAATTAAAAATCTTTAATTTTTAGAGACGCCCATATTTTATAATTATCCCTGCATATTTCAGTTAAGAATAGTTCATATTTTTGTTATAGGCATGCGGCAATGCAACTGCGATAGTTGCAGCGTAGATATTATGTATAATTCTAAATAATTTAGATGCGGTAATATGTATATTCTATATGATTTAGATGCAGTAGTTCACATTGAAGCAACACATACAATGCGGTAACTATAGTCAGGAAATTTTAGGGAAATTGAATATTTATCACTGCAATCTACGATTACAATTAAATGACAGATGTCTTTTTCATTTTGAATAAAAAAATTGAAATAAAAATTACAGTACAAAAAATAAATAAATATTTTATTGAGTCATTTTGTTTTTAAACGAATTGTACCTGTTTTGGCAAATAAATTAAATAATTTCCTATATAATAAAAAAAAACTTTATTACTTCATTAATTTTAACATTCAAATTTCTTACTATTATCTATTATATATTTTATTAGATAAAGACATCTAGTAAGTAAAACATACTTATACAAAAATACTTTCACATTAAGTATTATATACCAGCTCGTGTGGCATGATAGCAATTAAAATAAGAAAACGTGAAATTCTAATTGAAGAAAGTCGAAAAATGTCATTAAAATTTTTTTTTGTATTAAAAATTAAAATATTCATTAGAATTTCATTAAAAAAATATTAATCGAAAAAGAAAGCTTGGTTTAACTATACTAGTATAGTGGGTTATTTATGATTATTATTATTTTCTGTGTTATTGCAAGTAAAAGTGTTAGGAAATTAATAATAAAATTAGAATTTATTATTAAAATGTTATTGCTAACAAATTGTGTACATATACTTATAATATCTACAAAATAATAACAAATTAAGGAATTAATATTCTAATTAATCACTTCATATTTTTATTAAAATGAAAAAAAAATTTATACTTATTTGAAATGAGCTTTAAAAAATAAAAATTAATGAGTTTTAATAATTAAAATATATTCTCAATAATTCAAATTTTTTAAATATGTGTGCATATATATAAAGAGTCATATGTGGATATGTAAGAAAAGGCGCAGATAAATAATGAATCGACAACCTTACTCGATTATATAGGATAGATCCACGTGAAGATAATTTTCATTTTGTTGTACGAGCAAACGGGGGTCAGGAAAACTTTTTTGGTACTAGGGAAACGTGAAGGTAATTTTTATTTTATTGTACGAGCAAACGGGGGTCAGAAAAATTTTTTTGGTACTAGGGGCACGTGAACGTAATTTTAATTTTGTTGTACGAGCAAACGGGCGTCAGGAAAATTTTTTTGGTACTAGGGGCACGTGAAGGTAATTTTAATTTTGTTGCACGAGCAAACGGGAGTCCGAAAAATTTTTTTGGTACTAAGAAAGAGCACGTGAAGGTAATTTTAATTTTGTTATACGAGCAAACGAAAGTGAGGAAAATTCATTCGGCACTTATGGTCGTTTTTAAATTGAATTTGAATCTATTGTAGGCGTAAAAATAGTTTATCAACGAGAGAATTTTTTTTTTTTAATTTTTAAGGCAACTTAAATTGTTAAATGTATGTAGATTAGCAGATTCCAAGGAAACTGCATGGAACAAAAGGATATATGTATATCCTTCGGGTCACCGCAGCCATTTTCGACTTATTGTAGACTATATAATATTCCGGTTCGAAGTATAAAACTGGAGATATCCCCAAGGGAATTAGATAGCAGTGTCCAAACACTCAGGAAACACTGCCTAAGGCAATTGCGACGCCGTACAACCAATACCGGGCAGTCGCAAATTTCGACTAACATTTTTCACATTTTGTTTCTTCTCTCATAATTGTAATTTAGTGATTTAGTAATTTTTCAATATCTCGTATTTTTTTGAACAAAACTAATAATTTTCAAATACTTTCTTTAAAAATTACTATTTTGTTTAAGGTAATAATGAAAATCAGCTTACATACTTTTTTTTTTTGCTTACGAGACTCACAATCAGTGTTATAGTCTGCAAATATTAGTTTTTAGATAAATTGTAAAAAGAACTGTAGAAAAACATTCAATTGGCAATTTTTTCTAAAAAATTATAATAACTATGAAAGCTTGACACTGTTCTCTTAGGAAATAAAGCATCTTTTGCATTTTGCAATAAAATACAAAATTTGCAATAATTTTTTAATTGAACGGTGACTTAAAAAATTTTGTCTATTAAACTGATCAATGATCATTTGATTGGTGGTGGGTGGAACCTTGTTTTTTTCCCGCATATTAATCTGATCTAAATTTTTGATATTAACTTACCCATTTTATTTTTTTTTTTGTTGATTTCGCAGAATATTCCATATGGTATATGCAAATCGTAAACATTACATATTGCAATAATTATATAAAAAATATTCATTTTATATGCGGAAATAAAATTCACAAATATATTGGTTTACGCAAGTGATAACAAACACATCACACACATTTTCATTCATTTTGTACGATGCAAGTAATTTTTATGTAAGTAGTGTGTTTACAATATAAAAAATATAAAAAATAAAAATTATTTTTACTTTCATTTCAATAATAAATTTATTTTAAATTTTTTTTTTAACTATAATGAAATTTAATTTATGTATTTATAGCTTATGTACATACAGGAATTAAATTTAAAAAAAAAATTAATTATTTTTATCCTTGAAATAATTTTTTTTTGTTACTTATTTATTTTTTTAACAAATTACTTAAATAATAACATTTAGTATAGAAATTTTGAAAATTATTTAATAAAATAATATAATTAATTTATAATATTAGTATAAACAATTAAAAACAAGTAGATTATTTCAATTATTTCAATAAAAGCTAAAAAATCGCGATCTACTTCAAAACACGGTGTTCTATCAACTGAAAAAAAATTCTGCAAGAAAATATTGTAAAAAAAAACTTTGCAATATCAATTTTTTTTCGCTAATTTTTTTTTTTCTGCTTATTCTTGTGTTCGTTTTTGTTTACTATGCAAAGACTTTTTAACTAAGAAACAGTATGTATCTGTTTCTGTTTTAAAATCAAAACAAAACGAAAAAAGAAATCTACTTATCTGGTGTGAGCATAACATAAACGCTCGTAATCTAAAATTAAAATTATTTAATAAAATTTCCAAAAGTTTTAAAATTAATTTATGTTAACGATTTTTAAATTAATTTTCAATTTTTTAATCACAATTCTATGGAAATTTTTCAAAATCGATAACTCTTTTATGTTTTTTCAACTTTCATTTTAATAATACGGAAAGATAGACGGAAAGATTATCGAATCTCCTTTTTTATCAAATCGACAATTAGGACAATTTTATCCATTAGAAAAAAGGAAAATGAAAAAGGTTTAATAAATATTTATGCTCTTTGGATTTGGACAAATCTCCACGGAATTCGGGCAGACTGCTATTCTTTTAGTTTTACGATTTCCAATTGTTTAAATTGAAAATATATTAAACTACTTAAATATTGAATACAACTTTTTGTAATGTGTATCCACTTAGAGAAAAAAAAAAGTAATATACTTAAAAGAGAAAAATCTGAATTTGAAATCAATTAGATATTTCTACAAGACAATTCGGATTTCATAGATGAATTAAATCAGAATAATATAATCTTTCTTGTGGCAAAAAATCATGCAAATCCAGAATATAGTTTAAAAATCCAGAAATTAAAGAGACCACTCCCATTGCACTAATTGATTAGTATTGCAATTTTACGATTTTTTCAAATTGAATTTACTCAAAACACAGTTTCCTGACTTAATGCTTTCTGCTTCTTAACCGACGATATTAACTTATGATTGTTTTAACCTATTTAAGATTTTCATTCAAATGTTTGAGCAAATTCAATTCAAATATTCTTAAATTTAA